GGGGGGGTATTCTGTTAATGAGGCCAAGTTCAAGCAGGCTGAGGCCACACATCAAGAGTGGCCCGTGCACGGTTGCAAGAAAGGTTTGGGGGATGCCTTAAGATGGAAAGCTTCCAAATGAATGGTCACTGCATTCCCCCGAACTTGAACCCCCTCCTTTACATCAGTTGAGTTTTTTTTTTTTAAAGACTAGAGTCTACGGAAATAACCCCCAAACAATCGAACAGCTGAAACAGCCAAAGAACTGACTCAGAAACATGCAATAGGGCTAGCCAAAATTTCCAGCACCGTATACGAGTTTGTAGGCCAAGAAACAACCAAGACCTCGAGCACATAATTTTAAAAGCCACCTCTCTTCTTTAGTTTCTTGTCACTTTTAGATAGATTTGTGTTTTTAGTGCACACATACTCATTATGGTTGATTTTAAAGAAGTTTTAGAGTTATATGTTTCGCTCAATTTTGTTGAAATTTTTAAAATTTATTATTTCTTGAGCATGCTAATTGATTTTCTTCATATTCACAAATGTGACCTCCCATTGGTTGAATTTTATTTGTTCGAAGTTTTGTTGAAACTGCCCTTTAAAATGGGTCTGCTTTTTTTTTTTAGAGACATCTAGTTTATAATAAGAAGATTTTGTGTTTTGTTTCACCGATTTTCCTGTTTAAATTTTATGCATATAGTAAGGAATAAAAATTAAATACTTATATGATATCTCTACAAAGAGATTTGTCTGTTAAAGATACAAACATTAAACAAGTATGTGACTGTGATTCATTGGGAAAAGAAACGGGAAGTCAAAGGTCTAATCTGTAGCACAGAGATATGAATGCTGATACCCTAGAAGATAAAGTTTTATTGGTGTAGTTTATATGGCGTTGTTAATGTGTGTGTGTCATGACATATGTGTGTGTGTACATGTGTGTTAGAAAGAGAATCTGTGTCCGTCTGAGTGTGCCTCTGCGTGTGTGTTGTTTGGGGGGCAGGGTGTTAGTGTTAGTTTAATGTCATGTCATTTCTTTGTGGTAGCAGAAGCTCTTGAAAACATGTCAATTTTTTCAATTCTGGGTCAGAAGGGTTATCTTATCTTTTCTTCAGTTTGTCAATGGTCAAGAGTCTTGAGCTGATCCTGAGTGTTCTTCTTAACAGTAATCTCTTGTTTTCAAAGGAGTCGAGTGTCAGTTTGTTGGCTTCTGAATATGTCTGTTACTTCCTATGACTTGATCTTCAAGGGAAGTCGCATCATTAACTGGTTTTGGGGACAAGCTCGATTCTGTTTAAGAAAACCACAATGCAAAAATTAGATCTAATGCTTGAGACGGGGTTATTGAAGCAAATTTAAATATTACCTTCCTATCTGGCTCCTCTTCTTCCCTTGATAATAAATTGGAAAAAATCGTTCTCTCATTGAACTGCATGGTGCACATAACTTCATGGATGAATTGTCCAGAACGTTACACAGACATCGAAAATATGATGGGTGGAACTGAGGTTTTTTAGGGGGTTTTTTTCGAGGGGGAGGGGGGAGGGAGGAATATTGATTCTAATTGTCAGTCTTGAATATTTCAAACGTTTCAAGCTTCTGTAAAATATATATTTGTTTGTCTTTGGTGGGACTGGTCCTGTAGGAATGATATTGATATATAGCAGCAAATGTCACAACGTTAGGAATATAGTATACTCTTTTCGGGCTATATCACTATCACAGAAAAGAAAATGATGACTTATATTGACTTTTGAGTGTTTTGTGATTTGTAATGGGAACGAGAAGGTCATGGTTGGAAGGGTTTTTTTTGTTGTTGATCTCCTTTGTCATTTTCTTAGAGTGGCAATGTTCTGAAGCTAAATCTTCATATAAATGTTTACAAACTTTTAAAGAGAGAAAAAGTAATATTCGAATTCTCAATTTGGTATGGCTCAAGAACTGGGAAACTAGGAATGATACATAGCTGTTATTATTTCTACTAGCTACAGTTTTGTATCAATTGATTTTTTTATGCTGCAGGGACTTGAGTGAAGATGAGGAGTTTGTTGATGAGCTGAGGACCAACTTCAGATTCCTGGCATCTGTGATGTTCAGAAGAATGAAAAAGGTTAGAGTTCACAAATTTTTCACATCTGTAGGTATCAGCCCTCTTCATTTTAACTGCTATGACTGACTTCGTATTTTTCTTCATTGCACTTTTAGTTATCAGGGGTAGTCTACCTTTTGCTCTTTAATCCTCAATGTAGCAGATTTTTACAAGTCCTGCAGGTTGTCTTTTTTTCTTTTAGAGTATAGTAATGCACTCCTTTCAGGAATATTTATTTGTAATAACCAAGGATATTTACCCGTTTTTAATAGGGTTTCGTGCAGAATTTGAATTGGCCATGCAGCCTAGACAGGATTTCTATTATTTAACTTTCAGCTACCGAGGAGTGTGAAAATTCTGAGAAAAAAGGGCTCAATATTTTCTACTGACCTTGTGTGCACAAACCCAAGATGGTACCAGGTATATTTACAAATGGAGCAAGCCTTTATGTCACTGAACTGAAGAACACGCCCCTTCCCTCTTCCTTATGATATTGAAATGATATGTTTTTTTGTGTTCTATGCCATAAAAGTTTCATTTCATGTTTTGCTGTACAATAAGGAAAACTTGATGCCGATCCACAAGATTGGAGTTATTGCTTTTGTGTCTCTGCCTTGTGCATAGTTAGAGGTTGTCACTAGCAGGTCTTGCTTCTTTACTCTCCTGCTGTTTTTGTCTTTCTGCCTCTCTTTTTCTCTGGACTAGATGACATTTATTATGTGAATTAGGTTGTATTATCAAATTTTTAAAATATTCTTTCTCAATTTCAGGTTGATGTTCCTGAACTGGTAACTCAGAGAGTATTCCCTGCTATAATGAAGCACATAGACATCTGCTTGCAAGCTTACAAGAAAGGTATTGTGGGACTTGGTCAATGTTTCACAACTTCTTTCTTTGAGGATTTCTAAGTGTGACTGGAGATGCATGGAAATAGAAAAATGTTGGGCTTTCTTTTGGTTTTTGTCCTGCATGGAAGGCCAGCTTCAAAATAGATTAGGATAATAGTTACCAGGGTGTCCATCAAGGTCGTAAAAAAGTTGTAAATTCAGCTCCCTGGTCGAAAAGGTCGTAACCTTTATTATGCAGTTGCGAGTGCCGTAAAACTTCTACTAAATTAAAAACAAATAAAAAGGTCGTAAATGGTAGTAAATGTGCAGTGACGGTTGTAAACAGTCGTAAATTAAGCCTGCATACTGAGTTATGAACCCAGCGAGACTTTTCAGTGAACAGAGTCATAGCCGCAGTACTCAGCGATTACCAACTCCCATCTTTTGTTATTATTCGTTCAGCTTTTCGAACAGGCGGCTATGGCGGCAGGCGGAAGTGAATGTGACACGGAGGCTCGATCGGGAAAATCAAAATCTACTTTCGCTTTCGTTACTACTCGGAAATTTTCTGGAGATAGTCTTATAACGCAACATTTGTGACATGTAGGTTGTGCAGTATAAACGCTGTGTCGCTGTGCAAATAAAATTTAATCAGTACTCGGACGTCACTGTTCTGTCACTTGTAGAAAAAAAAAAAGAAAATACAAGCGTCGTCCGATTTTTATATTTTCGGGCTCGCCATCGTGACCGGTCAGGGAACCTACACGCGTTCGCATCACATAATACGGCATCATGTGAGTAGATTTACCTGGCCGGTTGTTGGGGTTGCCAAAATTCATTCGGTCTGAGCGTTGCAAAGTATAGGACTACGGAATGGGGACAGGGATTATTGATATTTTTTTTTAAGTTACACTCCGGGGGGGGTGCTGAAGGCCACACCAGAGGTAGATTTAGAGCTCTCTGCAAAGCATGCGTGTTATTGAACTTAAGTGTACGTGTTTCATTGGATGGGTGAAAGTAAATTATAACTATATGTAGCTTTCTGTTCAAGACTGGCAGATTTTCAGTGTCACTGCATCTTGCCCTCCCTCAGTTGTTACAACTCTCACACTGCATGGGTCTACTTGAGCCATTCATGTTATTGCTTTAATTTCAGTTTGAGCAAAAATTGTTGTCTTTCACGTTCATAATATGAATTAGGGCACCCTAACTGGTTCTTGTCGGTTGATATTCTGGTTCTAGGCTCTTTCGCAGGCTCAAAGCAGAATTCATTTTTTATATAATAATGAGAGGAAAATATAACCGACTGATATTAAGACTGAAATACGTAAGTCAAACAAGACCCCAGTGCCACACTAACATGTTGTTGTTTGGATATATTGTATGTGTGTGTGTGTGTTGTTGTTGTTGTGTAACATGCCCCTGGTAAATTGAGAAGCTGGTTTGGCAGTCGGCGTGTGTGTATGCGCATTAGGTCTAAATCTAGCAGCGAACGAACCCGCGATCGTCTGTCTATCCTCCATTTTGTCGACTGGACTTTGTTGTATGTCATTTTCATCATTCCATACACATGTAATATTATGGTATTGATGGCGCAAATGAACTACCTTTTTCGAGCTGGTGTGGGGCTTGATTTGCTTGGTAGTAAAAAAAATTTTCCAGGTAGTAAATTTTTTCTGGAAATATTGCTGGACACCCTGAGTTATACTGACAGGATGTCCAAAAGTCTTCCATACATTATTTCTTAGAGGTTTTTTTATGGCTATAAACTTGTATATTTATTTAAATTTACCTTGTAACTATATCATTATATATAACTATAGAACTTGCGAACATCCAGCCAGATACAGTGACTAACTTCATCATAGAAGAAGCAGACAACATCAAACAATGCTGCTAGTAATAATGTTGGAAATTGTGATAGGGGGTTGTGAGATGGAAACGGATCAAGGTTGTGATAAGAAGTATAACCAGTATAGTGGTGAAAAGACATGTTTTTACTATAAAACATGCTCACAAAATTGAATCTGCTCTAATGGCCACCTGTCCAAGACTGTAACCTGTACAAACAACCTCCTCCCCCCCCCCCCCTTTTGTATTAAAAAAAAAATATTATAATGACACTCTCCAAGATGTCCATTTATCATATCATAATATATATATATATAACAAATAGTACGTGCTTGTTCTGAGACGTTACAATTTTCAAAAATGGTGTGTGATCAGTGTTTCTCATCTTGTTTCCACAGAGGGATGCAAGGGAGATATGCAGAAGGTTGTGCTGGAATATCTCGGTTCCAACGTTCACTGTGCTATGTGGAGCCGTAAAGCTGAGCTAGAGTACTTGCGCCGACTTGTAGAGTCACTTTTTCCATATATACTTCGACCGCAAGCTCTGAATTCCAGGTGGGTATTAAGTCTAATTTTTACCCAAGCTAGGAAATATCCTTACAGTGGTGTTCATAAACATAAGTCGTAACACTACACTTTCTATGTTTATGTTTCCCAATGCGAAACATTTTGTACCAGAACTCGGTAACATTTATAGTACCTGACCTGTTTTGTTATCAAAATTTACCTTCTGTTCTAACAGTGCTTAATTTCCTGTCTGTGTCCAAATACAGTGCAATCATGTGATACTTAAATGCTTTGCCTCCAAGCATACTAGAATTTTGTTTGCTAGAAAGAAGACCAAAATTATTTGTCTTTGAGGAAACTTAGGTTACATAAACATTCACAGTGGGTGGTTGGAGGGTGCTCTGGTATGGTTTGCTCCTTTTTTCCTATAAATCAAACATCTATCGTCTTTATCTCCCCTCCATATCTTATGTGTTTTGTTACTCCCTTGTAACACCACTAATCTTCGGCAGTTATAGGACTTTATTGTTTTGCAAGTGCCCTTAAACTCTTACATGAAAAAGAAAAGCATTCACAGGGCACAGTTTAGACATATTATTTATAATTCATACTACAAGAAGTTTAAACACCTTCCTGTATTATCTTTTGGGGATTTTATCCTGTCTTATGCATTTTCTTATGTTGAAACAGCTCCCTTTAAAACTCTACCCAGTGATTTTTGTTTTCGATGGTTGCAAAGGTTTTGATTTGTTTTATGTTAGGGTTTTTTTTTTTCATTTTTTGTAACCAGAAGTACAAACTGTACTTCACAGTGCTTTGTATTCGAAGGAAAGGAATGTCAATTTATAATATTAAACTGTTTAATCTTCATAGTCTACTCTTTGGAGGGTTTTATATGTATAGAACGAAATTTAGAAGTAATAAAGTGTTTTTCATCAGAGCAAAGTTGGTGAAAGATATCTGCTAAATACTTATGTATATCTTTGTCTTGCTTTGAACTATGGTGCCTGAATATATCTGCCAGCCTAGCAAAGCCATCCATATCCAGGGCTTCTAACCGCAGCTTATTTGCTGGCTTTGGTGTCTTTGGTTTATTAAAACATCATTAGAATTCACTGTTGATTTATGAAATATATACATATATTGCATATCAGTAGGATATTGATAAATGGATAATGAGAGAGTTTTTAGTGTGTCTTCAACCTTTTCTTTTGTGCATACTCACATACACATATCGTCGCAAGCTGTTAAAATGTACTTAATCCAGAAAGCAAAATTTTACCGAAGAGAAAAAAACAACTTTTGTTTTTGTAACAATTGTGCCTTCATTATGTATTTTTTCTTTCTTTTTTTTTCAAAATTTTAAATTGTGAATTCTGACAAAATATTTTTAAGCACATTCAAACAATACCACAGATTAAAAAATAGCCTTAAGAAACAGCGATAAAATGTTTCAGAATTTTGGCGACAGTACATTGTTTGATGATAAGTGTCTGTTTGTGTGGGTGTGTGTGTGTGTGCTGTGATGTGGAATTCTAAAACGCTAAACTTTTCTGTGTTATTAGCATCTGCTTCACTGAAACTGATGATTATGACACTGACACTTTCGTCCCTGTTCTGAAGTAAGATTCTCTCATTCTGGGATATGCAAGCATTCGTTCTTATGTTTTCATTTCTTTTCATAAGTTTTTCCTTTTATAATTGTTTTGCATCCTGCACAATCACTTTAATGCTCCCATTTGTCAAAGTCAGGAAGATCCAATAGTAGTAAAGGAAAATACCAATTTGAAGAAACAGCTTTCAGTGTCATTATGTTGCATTGATCTAAGCAAGTCTTTAAATCTCCGGCTAATGGCTTTTTGCATTGTTCTCCTGTGTCCTTCATCAGTTGGTTTTTTTTTCCTTTGTATAGTGATTGTACAGTAATTCTAGGATTCCCCATTTTGAAAAGTCTTCTGTTTGTCAGCTCCGCAAAGGTTCACTATTTTTATTTTTTTTGGGTGCTGGTTTTTTTACTTTCTTTGCCATCTTCATTCTGCAGTTGTTTTGTTGGAAATTACACAAAAGCAACAGTCAGCTTGGGTTTTTTTTTCTTTAATACACTACACCACATCTTGCATGTCATGTCTGAGCAATTTTGTACCGCTTTGAGGCAGTGTTAAACAAGTGTTATTATGAAATGTTCCCATTGTTCTCCTGACTTGTTTTGAAACCTCTGAGTTGAATCTGGCCCTCCTGTGCCTCAACATTCCAGTTTTAGCTTAGTGATGATGATCTCCTGCTGTATTTGGAATTGTTATGTTTAAAGCTGTGAAAATGCATGATCCAGTTTTCCTGATAATGAGCAGTCCCAAGAATACTGTGATTCTTATGCATTTTTTTCCCATATATTTTTTTTTCTTTTTTCAACAACTTTGGTTTTTGGAATGCCATGGTTATTCCAGCAGTCTACAGGCATGTGCCCCTCAGCCCATTGCTGTATAGTAGAATGGGAACATCTTCATTAACACTCTTCCTTGTTGCAGTGTATAGGCTGTTTTCTTTTTGGGAGAGAGGATATTAATTTGTGAAATAAAAACTGTAGTTCCATTACAATATTGATGTTTTTATGTGTGTCACATGTTCAAAGCTATTTTTCTTCTACTGTCAACCAATTTCTTATTTGTAGTTATTGCACTCAACAGCTTGCTCGTGAGAAACTTGTATAAGAAATTAATTGCCTTTGTGTTATTAAATGTTAGCACTCACAAGCAACTGGTCCTTTTTCACTCATTGCAAAACACATTACTGTTTGATCGCCTCAGCTCAGGAAACGGGGGGAAAAAAGCCCCAATGATTTATTTATACTTTCTAGTTTCAGTCATTGTTTCTCACTCTTGTGCGTTCTTGTCCCATGTTAATTTCTCTTTACTTTAGCTGCAAAGTTTTTACATTTTACATTGATTGCTTTCAGCCCTTTTGATATTTCCAAGTAAATTTGCCTTAAAGTTTAAGTTCTTTCCGTTAACTTTTGGGTCTGTTGTCCATACTGTAGAGTCAGATAACAAAGAGAAATGTCAGAATCACTTGATTCCATAGCGCAGACATTCATCTTTTAAGGTTGCCTTGCAATTTTCTTTGAAATCTACAACTGAGATTAACTTTATCAACACCTTAGTACATTCTGAATTTGAGAAAATTATGTGAGCACAGTCTTGACAAAGATAATGAACTTGGACATCCATTTTTTTCCCTTTGTTTAGTGCTTTATTTAGCTCCCTCCCTCTCCCTTCTAAACATTATTCTTTTCTTTCACTGTATCAGGAGCACATGTGCTCTTGTAAGAGAGCTCATAGCTGGCTCTGTGTTGCTACCTGCTATGGATGCCATTGGAAATCCTGTAAGTATACCTGTTTACTTCTACTGACTTACATTCTATTTTAGTTACAACACTACCAGTGAATACAACAGACAGTGAACTGTGGAGAGTAAAGAAGTACCTATTTTTATGCTGATTCACTATTGACTACATCTGAATAATAACTTTTGCATTAAATCACATAGAAATGATGGTGAGACGGACACATGACAAAAATGAGTTTATGAACAAAGTGAGCCCATACTGCTTCTACACAAACTGCTGTTTGCTTATGTGAGCTTCTTTGAGGTAATACTTTCACCGTACTGTCAGAGTAGTTGACGTGTACACTGGTTCCAAAGGTTCTACCTTTTATGTAATGTCTGATTATTTTGTGCTTTTGTACTTTTGAAATTGGTGTTCTCCCATACCCTTCTTGCTAATCATTTTGCTTGGTTTATGCTGCTTGCTTTAGATTTTCCAACAGATAAATTTCAGACTTGACTTGTCTTTATTGATGTATGGCGATATGTAATCCATTCTCTGTCTTGCAGGATCTGTTGAACAATTTGGCGCTTATATTCTTTGACAACACTCCGGTAAGTTCTTTGGTTTGTTTTTGAAGTTCTTCCTTCTCACGTGACTGAATATGGTGGGGTGGATGGGAAAGGTGGAAGGGGGGGGGGGGAGTAGCTGTTGTAATTCTACCCCTTCCTCTCAGAACTAGGAGTGAAAGGACCTTGCTGGTGGGGTACTTTTATACTCAGCATACATTCTGTTTTGGGTGAGGCTTCTTTTGTCCAGTCTTACTATATCTTCTGCTCAGCTCTCCTACCTGTTCTGTCCGAAAAGTTAAAAATAACCCCAGAGCGCTGCAGTGTTGGTTACACCTTTATAACCTTTCTCTCTCCAGCCGACATTACTTTTAGCAAAAAACAGAGGTACAAGTTATATTTATTAGGAGCTTTTTTGTGTTGGCTTTTACCATGGTTGTCTGTGGTCACTTCGTTGTACCTGATACTGTTTTTGTCATAATAATATATCTGTGAAACTGGAAGAAATTATACTGTTGAAAGTTAGAAACGTTAACCAGTTTCTAGTTAACAATGTACTGTAAAAGATAGCTTGCCTTTGCTGAATCAGACTAAATTATATCAGCATTTTTGTGTCAAGGCATTGTTAAAAATAATGCATGAATTTGTAACTGACGTAATTTTGGTTTGTGTATTTGAGATTAGTGAAATTGTTCATACTTACCTTTTATAGATGTTGGTTCTGGAGTTAATATCACTCTAAAAAGTTCAAAGTTTTCCTCTCAGTTGGATACAATATGCTCTAACTTGCTGTGAATGGTCTTTCAAATTATGTAAAACAAAAAACAAAACAATAGAATGTCTGCGCAGTAGTCTTTATCCAACCGACTTAAGTTGATGCAGAATGCCTGTGTATTTTATTTTACTCCAGCCACCAGAAGCCACAGAACCGCCCTCTCCCATGGTGCCATTCCTGGGTCAGTTCAGCCAGGCGAAAGCTCGTAATGAGTCGGTTAGTGATGATTAACTTATATGTGTCATGACATGGTGGAATCAGGCGCTCGTCAATTTTTGGGGATGTAGAGTTACTGATATCATCTGAAAGCTGATTTATTTGCCTTGCCTCTAATGAAATATATATTCATTTATCTTGAAAAGAGCTCAAGATATTTGCGATTGAATGAAGTGAGGTCGCCTGGTTTCAGTGGTGAAATTGGCGAGAAAATGGCACCCACAGTTTGGTAACTTCAATAGCTAAAGAGTCTTTGAAAACTGAAAAATGACATATTGTGCCTTTAACCAATGTTTTTCAGTAATAGTCACTTGGAAATGTGTTTTTATATGGACGTAAAAGAGGTTATTCCAAAAAATAAGAATTTGATAAAAATTTCCAAACTGGCTGAAAAATGCCTGTTTCTCAGATTTCGTTATATTGACGAGCGCCTGATTTCACCACGCTGCCTCACATAATGTAGTAGAAATTTTTCAAGACAACCACCCATTGTCGAAGAGAAAAGTGATTGTCTTCAATAGGTGGACGTCTTGGAAAGGGTTATTGTAAATTTTAAAATGCAAGGAGGAAAGTGGGAAGTAGTTGTGTGTACAAATAATCTTGAACAAGTGACCTTTAGAACAGGTTCAACTGTAGTTTGTTGTGTTTACGTAACATATTTTAACACTTGTGCTCTATGCTCCTTACAATGTGTATCAGCGCTCTTGGTCCGAGGGATCAGGGAGATATGGTCTTTTAGTATGTGATTTATATACCCTGTGCTCCTCATTTTATTCTATGAGCTTTTTGAAATTCCTATCTTCCTCTTTCAAGTACCTATTAGGTGTAACGGGTTTGACTGAAAATACTGGGTTTTGTGATGACTTGGCTGGTACTTCTTATGATAACTAAACAAATTGTCAAATGAGATCTGTTCAGCTCTGTATTCAGTTTCTCATGCTTCAAAAGCAAAAATCCTTTATAGTGACAGATGGATGTTTTACTAATTTTCATGAGAAAAGCAAAAGTACTCAGTTACTTTTCATTTTCAGTGTCTACGTTATGAGCTGAAAGATGTCATCAACCCCGATCGGCAAGAACTGCTCTATCCTTTCATGCAGTTCTTGAAAAGTGAAGCAGCTATCAACGTTTTGCAGTTTTGTCTGGCTTGTGGTAAGTCACAGCTTATGAGTAGTGACAGTGTTTGTACCCTCTCTCTCTCTCTTTCGCTCTTGCTCTCGCTCTGAGCTGAACTGAGCTGAGCTGAGCTGACACAGACCAGACTACTGGATCTTTTTCTGTTGTGTTCATTTTAAGGTACACTGTCTGGAAATGACTTCAGTGAGAACTGTGTCTTGTTAGACTTAAGAATATTTTAAGGTATATTCTGTCCAAATGACTATTTTTCAATTGTATCTTGTTTTCAGTAAGTAATTTTTACTCTACATTCTGAGCCCATCAACGTCTGTGGTGTAGCAGTAAGGCACTTTTCTGTTGCACACAGGAGACCCAGGTTTGATTCCTGAGTGGAGAGGATTTTTATTGAGTATCTAGGTTTTTCTGTCTTTTTGCTGGTGTCCCTCACAGGCAGGATCGAAAGTCTTCCTCCAAAATGATGTAAATTGTGTTGATAAGAGTGTAAAAACAACTAAATTTTAAAAGATGACTCTGTCCTCAGATGACTTTAACCGTCGCATATTGAGCCCTGACGTGTCTCAGAGTGAGTTTGTGGAGCTGCACATGACGGCCAAGGACCTGTACAAAAGCTACTGTGCTCCAAATGCCTTAGACAGAATCAAGTTTGATGATGATGTAGTAGAAACCTTGAGAGAAGGTAAAACCTGCGGCTGTGGAGGAAATTTGAAATGATGATGCAGTGGCATTGTAAAGGAAAATATGTTTTGTCTTTTAGGAACTATTTTTTCCACCTCACTTAAGAGTGTCATAATGGCTCAGCGAAATTCTAACCTTAAACAAAATCATGTCGTTCATTCATGTGAAACTACTAATGTTGACTTTCTCAAGCAATATGTTCTCTTGAAACACAAAGTATGCTAACAGCCAGGGGACAGTGGGATTGAAGCCTCCTACACTGACTTTTATGAAACGCTTAAAGTTTCTGACATTGACTCAGTATGAACAGTTGTATGATAGAAATGTTATAGGAACAGGAACTTTGACAATGTTATTTTGTTTGTTTTGGTACAGTGTTTTACTGCGCTCGCAACTGCATAAGGTCATATGAGCGTGCGGGACACACCTATTATTTTCAGTTGGTAGGAAATTTTGAATTTTGCCCGGGTGGCGGCCGAAGCCTACTCTTATCGATTTTAGACCACCAAGGGATGTTTAACGTGCACAACTTGCACACGGGCCCTCCAAGATTTTTTCGCCCTTGTCCGAGAAGGCTAGGTGTAGATCTTTCCTACCAGAAGATCAGGGGTTTTTCTGAAAGACAGCAGTAAGAAGAAGCGAAGGAGTAGCAGTAGAAAGGCTGCAGAAAGAATCAGGAGCCCAAAGGGAGGGGCAAAGGAGGTGAGGATGTGGGGGCAGAAGGAGGAGACGAAAGCAGACGACAGAACATTGCTAGAGAGCGTGAAATGAGGTGAAAGGAGACAAATTTAGAGAAGAAAATTTTTCAGTGGCTACCCGGATTCGAACCCGGGACCTTTTGAGTGAGAGGCCAACACCTTAACCTCTAGGCCACGAGAGTCCCCTGACAATGTTATGGAAGAGTTTTAAGAAGAATAATACTTCTTTAGAGTAGATTTTGTGCTCAATGGTGATGCATTTAATTTGTTTTGGAAAGGTTGACTGTCACTATGAGGGACTTATCTTGTGACTTTACCTAGCTTTCCATGTGCATGTCGCTGTGAAAACATGGAGAGGCAATACAAGTTTAGTCCTTCTAATCACACTATGGCATCGATGGTCCAGTGGTTAGGCCCATAGACTCTCAACAGTAAGGTCATGGTTTTGAATCCCATTATGGGCCCAAAGTCCAAAGTCATTTCTTTGGGAAAGGCACTTCACGCGAATTTTTCTCACTTCACCTAGATGAGAATGGGTACCCTGCTATAGACAGCTAAAGATCTAGTCACTTTATTAGTGTTTGAGCACTTAATGAGCTGCTTGCACTGTATGCTTCCCTGAAAGCGGAGAATGTTTCTTTGTGTTTTTGGGTCTGCTGGGTTAATAATAGTTATAATACTCAAGGAGCATCCTGAAAAGCATGGATATACACTATGTACATGTAATGTTATTATTATTAATCTCTGACATTCATGCAGAATACAACACGAAAGACTTAGTTGTATTTTGGGTAAGGAGAAAAAATAATAAGATTGTTTATTTTATCTGTCAGAATGATGAATGAAGATCAATATAATTTTGTATTATTTCATTTTTTTTCTCTCTTTATTTACAGTTGTTGAAGGCCCACCAGATCAAGTGATTCGTTTGCGGACTTCCACACCACTGTTCAAGTTAGTGTTGTCTTTCTTTGTATAGCTTTTTACCTCGTGTGGGTAAATAAAGGACTCCTGACAGGTGGTCTTTTGAGTGTGTTTTTGAACAAGACACTTAGGTCAAATTTAGGGTGCTGCTATGTGGTGACCAATAGTGGGTTCGTTTTGATGTCTGTTTGATTGTCGCATCCTTTTCTTGTCTAAATTGTAATTTACTTGTTATGTTGTCCTTAGTATTTGCCCTTGCAGGACAAATTGCCAGAACTATTAAGGCAAGAAGAAGGCAGAAGAAAAGAAAGTAGGTCAAGTTAATGACAGTTGTTGCCCTTTATTGTTGTTCCTGAGTAAATGGTGGTTCACCTCCTGTTGATATGCAGTAAGTCTATTTGTTACGCACAAAGTAAGGATTTGCAATTCTTTTTGAGTAATACTTTTTTTTTTCAAACACTATGTATTAAGTATCTCTTATGGAAAATGTCCCAAGTTCAGTTTCCAAGGGAGAGGTTTTTTTGTCTTGGCTTAAGAGTTAATGTGCTAATGTACTGTGGGTGTGTGTGAGCGTGTGTGTGTATGTGTGTTTTTTTACAAGATTTCTTTATTTGGTTACAGTGCAGAAAATTTCAAAGTTCTTTGCATTTTATCCTTGGGCATTTAACTGTTCTTTCAAGTCTAATAACATGGCTTTATTTCTGTAATATTCTATTCCCCTTAGAATTTAGAAGTCAAACCTCTTTTAGTTCTAAGTTCACAATATGTAGGAAAATGACATGGTGACATTGCGGCCAGTGTCAGGTGTTGTGGCTAGACTTTTTCACCTTTAGTGCAAAAGATGTAAGTTTGATTCCTATGGAAGTAGATAATATAAAGAGTTAATCCATCTTTTAGCCGAATTAACCCTGAGAGCCTTTTGAGTCATCAAAAATGTGTTGATGATGGTGTAAAACATTTACTTAGAAGTATAGTATAACATCTGGCTCATTTTATTTCTTTTTCCTTTCCTTGCAGAGCCTATGAGCATGCCTACAACCTGTTGGAAAACAACTTCCTACCCATGTTCCATCAGAGTGATGATGTAAGTTGTTCATGACATTAAATGCTCTATAATTTCCTCTTGCGGGTCCTTCTTTTAAATCTAACCACAGTTGGTGTTTGTGGTAAGTGTAATAGTTGGTCAGCTTTAGATGTAATTGAATCACTCCAACATTTATTCTTAGCTAAATGTTTGTGGAAACAACAGTCTTCTTATCATGCATTTGAGTGACTATGATTTTATTGAACCTTCTAGATTTTTATTGTGTGAGTTTATTATGGAAACCTTATTACTGTATTTCTTCAGTTTAGATGGATGACAATGAAATTAATAAATGAATCCACTTGAAATCTTTGATATGTGTGAGTTTTTTTATTGAAAACTTTTTTTTTTGCTAATCAATGAGATATGCAAATCAAATGTTAATTTAAACTATGATAGCTTCCTAGATCTTAGAATGCCAAAGTTTACCTAAAAGCTGGGGGTTTTTTTTCAACTATTTCCAGCCTTTTTACCATTGTTAGTTAATTAGCGTAGTAGACAGCTGCTTATATGTTCCCTCCTCTATCAAGTTGGTATTACGAAACATGTACAAGATTTGTTATACTGGTCTTTCCTAAAAGATGGGTGGTTGGTGGGTGCTCTGGTGTGGTTTGCTCCTTCTTTCCTATCGAACATCTTTTTTCCTTTTCTCTCCTCCTCCTTTTCTTGTGTGTTACTTTCAAGTAACACCTTCAATTTTTGGCACTTATATGACCCATTTGTGTTGCAATTGCCATAAAATTCCTACTAAAACTAATTTCCAAGAGGAAATTGTTGAACGGAAATCTAACAATTTCTTGTCAATCGTAACAGATTTTTTTTTACTAAACATCAAGTGTTTCAATGTCTATGTAATAAAATTTTAACTTAATAACAAACTTCCTGTACCGCCAATGCCTTCTGTTTTCAGTATTACAGCATGATCTGTGGAGGACGACCAAACTCGGCTTTGTCTCGACAAATGTCAAGGTAACAAATTGTTTCGGCCTTTGCTTTTGGAATGGGGTTTTTTTTCACCAGTAACCATCAAATTAAGGGAATATTTCAAACCTTACAAGGCCAGGACAAGATTTGTACTTGTCAGGAAGATGAACACACTTCATAGAACACTTTTTGTCAGTATCTAGTCCTTGTTTCAGGATTGTGAAAGTTTAAACTGGGTTTTGGTGTCTTGTCACACTGCTCCTTGCCAATGAAATGAATTTAGTAGTCTGCTGTTACCATTTTCAAACATTTTGTATGATTGTTTATCGCATTTTACATAGAGTGGCTTGGTTTGTTTGTTTTTAATAGTAATTTCATATATTGTTGCGGTCAACAAGCTAGTACAGGTTTATATTTCCTTGCAGTTTTTGCGCGTGTATACCCCTTTGTTATTGTCTTGACTATTCCTCTTAGCTCTTTTCTCCATGGCAATGCTTCTCTGGATGTATAACATTGTATACAGACATTTTGCCTTGTAACAGTTTGCAGTTTGAGTGTATCGAAGAAAAGGAAAATAGCTGCTATTCTGCATCATCTGCATAGTTTGTATGCTCTAATAGAAGTTTATAATGATGGCTTGAAATGCATGTGGTTTTTCGATTGTATGTGAAACAATAGCCTGTACCTGTGCCCTTACATTGCATATGTGGTGTGACGTTATGTACTCCTACAAAATTCGTAACTGGTCAGATCTGATTTTGACCTCAGACTCTCAGTATGTACTCTTCTGCTGTCTCTTTAAATGTGTGTTTTTGCCCCAAAGTGTCTTCATTCAATATTTTTTTCTCTTGCAGAATTTGAAAACTGTCTTTATATGCTAAGAAAATAACATTCTAAATATTCTATTTTTTAATTTTTTTTTATTTTTCAATGATCATAGTGTTTCAGGCATCTGCATGTATAAGTTAGTAACATTGATTTCTGCATTTTCTCTCAAAGTTCTTTCGGGACAAAGAGTAACAGCCTTAGGTAAATCAATGTTGTAAAGTAAAGACGTTCTGGTGTTTAGAAATGACCTGTGAATATGGAACCTTTGTTGCTGTCTGTGGATTATGATTTTTGTCGGTGTTAGTTGAGTGAATAACTCTTCGTAGACGTGCCATGATACTAATACGTAGACTTCTATTTTATAATTCTCTGTGCAGTGCAGGAGCAATGCTTCTCCCCCTTTTTTTTAATATAGAGGTGTCACTTACAATTGGGTTTTTTTCTTAGATTAATTTTTTTTTTTTTTCGAGGAGCAATATTGGACTTTTGAGACTTTGTTTAGTATCCCATTCCTTTTTTGCTATGACTGCAGTCTTGTAAGGTTTAGAAGACTTGAAAAATATAAAGGCATCTATGGGTTTTCAGTGTACAATATATTACTTTTTAAAATGTAATTGGTTTTAAAAAATTTGTTTAAACTGACTTATCTGTAATCCTACAAAGCCCTTTCAAAACCATGGGTGGACGATGAGAATCTATGTAATATACTGGGGAAAAAAGCACTTTATGTGTATTTGAAGGTTGCTACTACACATATGTATTTTCTTAATCAAATTAGACACTTTTCTCCCTCAACAATGGTATTTAGGGTAGTTGAAGAGAATGAGTGGTCATTTGAGAGTGTATGTTTGCATAATTGCTCGTCTTTCGTATTTGTTATTTTGTTGTTGGTTTTGTTTACATTTTGGTTTCTTTTATTGATGCTGTGCTGTAGCTTTTTTTTTTCCATCTTGTAGAGTTTTGTTTGATGTTATTACAAGTTTGATGTGATCTTTATTTCAAGTTCTAATTGTGGTGTGAGTGTGAAATAACATTTTTCTTAATCTTTAATAGGATCTTTCTATTAAGAAAAATGTTTTTAAAAATTTTAGTAGTGCAAATTAGTTCTAATTTTTACAACAAAAATAAGCAACCCTTGTTTGGAGTTTGTTGGTTCTGTTCCAAAAATTTTGGTGCAAACTGCTGTTCAAAGTTGCCTGATGATGAGCAAGAGGCTCTGAGATAAGATAGGAGAAGGAAGATAATGAAACGATAAAGAGAGAGAGGGAGGGCGGGAGGGATGAAGTGTGGGAGTTCCAGATATTCACATAGCATTAGGTGTATTAATGTTGAGTGTGAAATGAAATATTGAAAAGTGGGAAATGTTTCAAGGGTCTAAATAATTGCTGTCATAAGTGTATAGATCTTTAAAAGATTGCACCATAGAACAAAGATTCAAGACTCCCAATAAAACGAAAAAATGTGTCCCTTAGAAAGCATATTCTTGTGTAATTATTAACTTTTGAAAGGAGATTGTTATTCATTCATTTCATAGATTAAATTAAGATTGTCTGTTTAATTTTAACCTTACTTTTTTTTTCATAGTATTTTACAATGAATGCAGAAGTGTGAGTTTAGCCTTTAATGAAATCTTGTACGACAGCTTCCAGAGTGCTGTTGTGATGAAAAATATTTTGTTTCTGTTTTTGTTCCATATTAACCCCTTCATGACACAGGGTCAGTTCATGCTTTACCAGGCACAATTTTGGATCAGGGACAAGAAGTAGCGCTAAAATTAGTGGTCAAATGCCTATAATTAGACCTGGTTTGTAAATACTACTGTCTTTAAGAATTCTTTGTACGAAAAAAAGTAATAGCTGAATGTGACTCTGCGATTAGTTTTAAAAAATGCATCACCTAGAAGCAGTATGCAGAATACAGCCTATAATGAATGGCGTTCGTCATCATGGTCCACGCGCTTCGCAAAGCATGACAAACATTGTACGTCACAGCAGCAGCTTGGCTCCTTCGCTGTATAAGAAAAAAATTTAAAACAATGTACTTCATATAGGTCACAAAGGGGTTAATGCCTCGCTAGGTACTATAAGGTCATTTTGAAACCCTCTACCCCATTTGGTTTTGCCTGGTCCAGTGTTAGCTACAGCAGACCCTGAGATGACAAACTGACTCAAAAGAAAGCTGTTGTCTTTTTTTTATGTGTATATCAGTGCTGTAGTTCAGTGCATTTTTATTTGTGTATGCATTTATGTTGTGTGTGTGTGTGCCAACATGCGTGCGTGCATGCGTGTGTGAGTGAGTGAGAGAGAGAGAGAGAGAGAGAGAGAGAGAGAGAGACTAAATAATTGAATCATATTTTTCTTTCCACTTATTTGGTTTTCTCATTGTCAAGCATACTAAGTGTGTCCAGAGTGTAAATATTGATGTCTGCCCCTTTCTTTCTTCATCCCTATTCTTTGTGGGTAACATTTCTTTTAAACAAAGAGTCATCTTATAATTACAATACCACACATATCAAGTAGTTTGATGATTTTTAACAGACATTTACTTCTCTTGATAAACCAAGCAGGTACTAATAGATCTTCTGATGTTTCTTTACTCATTTCCTTACCAGCTTTTATGTCAATCTGATCAAAAGTTATTTGTAAGTAAGAAAGCGTTCTTTTTTAAAATTTTGTTTCGTTGTTTTGTCTTCAGGGGAGTTCTTTCTGAATGTCAAAGAAAGTTCTATTTTTATTTGAATTGTTCCTCAGTCTACAGCAATCATGCTGGTTTTACAAGTTTGTTTCTGTTCAGTCTTTTATCTGATTGATGATTTTAAAAGTTATTGTTTTTGCTGTAAAAATGACTGAAATATCCTGAGCCATATGATGTGTTTTGATAAGAAACAAAAATAAGTTTATACTAATATTTTTAAAGTCAACATTTTACTGACATTGAGATGATAAAACACAATTAATCCAAATCACCAGGTTTGATTCTTGTGTAGGTTATCAACAAATATTACAGTTATTTGTTGAAAGGGTGACTTCTTCCTGTCTGGATGGTCTTCGTTGTGCTTGTCCTATAACCCGTTTTGAAGCTAGACTGCTTAATTACCTTCTTTGCAGTAATAACTTTTATGAAAGACAACTCTAGAGTTTCTCTGTTCGGAAGGCTTGTGGATAAGTCTTTGGGATTGAATAGTTGGGGAAAGGCTAAGCCTTTTATGTAAGTGTCTAAAGTTTTTTATTATTGCATCAACTATTTCAATTTCATTGATTTCAGAATTTAGTTTCAATCTCGTCTTGTGCCTCTGTCTTTTTAGGTTCAGTACAATGCGATTATTGCCAAGACAAACTTTAAGATAGTCTTCAAATTATCAGAAAAGTTCTTTAACAGGACTTTGCTTTTTTTTTTTCACCTTAATACTTGGCGTGGTTGTTGTCCAGTAGTGAAAAAGCAGAAGAAATGATCTTGGTGTAAAGTACATGAAGTGAAAATATAGAAGTGTATCTTCAGATCTGGATAAACCTTTGATAGCTGTAAGAGTGTGATTGGTCATTGCTGCACAGTTTTTTTAAATTTGTAATAGTACCAAAATATCTTCCTTTCTCTTACTGCAACAGAAGTGTCCCAACAGATTTTGCTGACAGCTCATTTAATTAAAATTGATGCGGGAGTTGTAAATATATTTCTTTTTTTATTCACACCAATACTTTATCATAACCCCAGGTGTTTCACTTGTGTGAGGTGGCATTAACCGGGTTTTACTGTCCATGGTTAATGGAAGTGTACTGATGCATATCTGCCTAAATTTTATTTCTAATAGGTGCCTCATTTCCTAATATTTGGTAACCTCCGAAGGTTCTAGTTTCCACACTTTCTGAGGGTGTTAATGCTGTTTCTTCCAGATATCAACCCGATACTTGATTATTAGTAGATGCCTTTTTAAGTGTTTTGGAGTCAAGCTAGACATAGCCCCCCACCCCCACCCCCTCTTTGAATCATTAAATGTTTCTTGGTTGTTTTTTACCATGCAGATGTGATGATGTATTTCCTAATCTATGCTGAAGATTTTAGATCCTTCTTTTAAGGGTTTTTTTCTGGAGGATTTATATGATTTCTTAATAAGATTTGCTAAAGATGCAGATTGTTTACAGCTGTACTTTATTATTTTGATAGGAATTATCTTATTCGAGTATGTGTTTTGTGTGAGCATGCACTGTGGGGAAAGGGAGATTTTACCATGACTCATGTTTGATTGTGGGGATCTCAATTTTACAAGTTTTATCAAAATGCTTTTTCAAGTGTGAGATATTCAAAAGGAGAGATTTTAGAGTAAAGTGAGAGATTTTTGTAATAAGGGGTTTTGTTTTGGACTTCTTTTTTTGGGGTGGGGGGGGGGGAGTGTTAAGGACGATTCGTCATTTGAAAATGACGGCTGCTAAAATATCTGTTTCTTACAACTTACACTTTTGTTTTCTTTTTCTTCTCAGGCAGCCAAAGAAAAAAGATTTTTCTCTTGCCCAGTTTAGAAGCAAACTGAAAGATGTCTTCCGTTCATCTGGTAATTTATAAACAATTCTATGAACAAATTTAAAAATGAACATGCTAATGATGATTGCCTTTTACTACTAGAGGTCTCCGCACATGTTACTGGCTGATCAGACCTCTATATTTCTCATTTATTGAGCATTTATTACTTTCCTGATTGTATGGTCTTATATATTCATGGACTTATCACTACTCACAGATGTCCTTTTAGCGTTTGATTTGATGATTGTTCCGTCTATACTTCATGCTTTCCTTTTATTTTCCTGATCTTTTTGGTCTGTATACTGTTCAGTTCATTTTATGTTAAGATTGCTTATTTATCTATAGTTTCTTTTAATTTTATGTGTCCTTTGACATGAAAGTATTCAAGTCTTTATATATTGAACCCTTAAAGTGTTTTTTTTTTATTTCAGAGGAAAAACTTGCCAGTTTTGATTCAGATCCTGATACTATGTCTCTGAATTCCTTGAATGTGAGTGTGATATTATACTTTCTCTAAGTCTATCCTGTCAGTCCACAAATGTATGATAAGGCTTATATATATATAATCTTCTCTTCACCTTGCTGGGAATGGGTTGTTGGACTATAAGTAGAATTATAGTGGTATGCACATAACAAGAAAGACCTTGCCGGATGGGTTTAAAAAGGTGGAACAACATGACATGTCTATCACAGACGCTACACATGTAGCACAGGACAGAAACCTGCACCTCCCCTTGCAATCCTAAGGATACCAGAGGAAGGAAAAAGTAAAATTAAGTAAAGTAAGCATTAAACAAGCTATGAGTCTGTGACTCCCAGGAGTCTTCTTTTCTATCAAATGTCTGTCATCTTCATCTCTTCTCCTTCATTTTTTGGGGGGTTTGTTTCACTCTTGTAACACCTCTAATCTACAACACTGTTATGACCTTATTGTGTTGCAAGTGCTCTAGAACTCTTACTAAAACTAAACTAGGAGACTGACATGGAAAACTGAAATATCAAGCCAGCCGAGGAAGTTATTGAGAATTCATATGTGTCTTCTTTTGGTACACAATTATTAATGAAAACTTTGTTTTTTCAAACATTTTCGAAGTGTCCTTATGGGTGGTTGGCGGGTGTTCTGGTATGTTTTGCTCCTTCTTTCCTCTCAAATATCTGTCATCCTTATCTCTCCTCTTTCTTTAAGAGATAAGATAAGATAAGGTACTTCTTTATTGTCCACATTGGTTTGGTGTTCCGCCAAGTACACATGTACACACACATATGCACACACACACACACACACACACACACACACACACACACACACACACACACAAACATGCACACACACACATATGCACATACATGTGCACGCCAATATACACACACACTCTTCCCTCACACATCCTCTCTTCCACACATATCTGCACATAGCCATAATAATATGATGGTAGGGGCCTATGCTTGAACTCACAAACAGGCTCACAGTCACATGCATAATATAGATGAACAGTAATATAAACATTAATAGTGTTAAGATAGATACTTTCTCAGAATTCTTTTTATTGTGTTTATTACTCTCTTGTAACCCTTCTAATCTTTGGCACTCATATGACCTTATTGTGTTGCAAGTGGCTTAAAATTTACTAAAACTAAACTATACTAATAGTTGTCCATGGGTTTTTTTGTGTCCATTTCAGTCATCTTTGATACTGGATGAAGAGCTGGAGGATCCAGTGTCAGAGGGTGACTGGTCAATGAACGACCTGAGTTCCTGGCGTGTGACCATCCCCAGGATCGGGGCGAGACCCGACCTGGAGAACCCTCGGAAACAGTACTTTGTGTTTATCGTGGATGTGCGGCGAGTGGATGTGGGGGAAGGTAGTTGATAATAATAATGATGATGATAATAGATAGTATTTGTACAGCGCACACTCCTGCTCAACAGCTAGCTCTTTGTGCTTTACTATCTACATAATTAGGCAGGAAGAGAGAGAAGAAAGGAGAGAGAGAGAGAGAGTGAGATAGTGTGTGTGGGGGGAGGGGGGGGAGAGAAAGAGAGAGATGGAAATTATGTGTTGGTTTCTAAATGTTGCCATTTATGAACAAATATGTATGTTCATGTAATGTGTGCTATAAAGAGTGTTGAATTCTCTTCCAGTGAAATAAAAATGCACTTCTTTAAGCACTAGAAGCGGTAGTGTTGGTGGTGATGGCTGGTATAATGATTATCATTTTATCAGCGTTATGTTTATAGTTTTTATTTTCATTATTATTATAAATTTGTGTTACTTTTATTATTATTTTGTTACCGAAGTTGCACCTTACATATTGCCAGTGCTTGCCATTTATGTTGCTTTAAATCAGTATCTTCTTCTGGGAAGGGCATAACTCATTTCAGATGTAAAACCATTGTGGATCTCCTTATTCAAGATTAAACCCTAATGTATTATTAATTTTGTTTCTGTGTCTGGTCGGCTTTAGCACATTCCTGGTCAATATGCAACACGGCTCTTATTAAAAGGAGTTGTTAGACGATTTTAAACCTTTCTGAAAACAAGTTTGGTTTTTTTTTGGGGGGGGGGGTTTAACACATGTTAATATTTTTCTGTCGATTTTGTGAACATTGCCATTTTTTTTCTCAGGGGATGAGGTGAAATCACAGTGGACTGTTGCAAGGTAAGTGGGACAATGGTCATGTAAGGAAAAGGCTTTTGATTCACCTAACTGCAGTGCCTGTAGAACACAGGTGAAAGAAAGAAAAAATGAGTTTCCCAAGTTAGACATTTATTCATAATATCTTCTTTGTTCTGTTGTGATTTTTAAGTCAGAGGCTTGATAATCTGGTACTTTATATAACTGCACAAAGTTTTGTCCAATTGACTTTTACATGTGGGTGGTTGGCGGGTGCTCTGGTGGGGTTTGCTTCTTCGAACCTCTATCAGACATTTATCATCCTGATTTCTCCTCTTTCTTTTTTGTGGTTGTTACTCTCTTGTAACACCTCTAATCTTTAGCACTTATACAACCTTATTTTGTTGCAAGTGCCGTGAAATGTTTACTATAACAAGAGTTTAACATTTCCCTGATGATTGTGCACATCCACAATGTTACTAGAAGCAAGAGTTCTTTATGGTTATTCTTCTGTGTATTGTGGCTATGACAACTACTCTCTAATGTACTGATAGTGTTTGGCAGTCTTTTATGATATGAATGTTTTACTGAAATGCCATCTGAGTATGTTATCACCATAGTTCAGATAGCGTGTTTTTTAAAATACAAGTTCATAGCACTGTTCCATAAATTATATTAATGTTTTTTGTTCTTTTTTTTTTACAGACGATATTCTGAGTTCTATGTCTTGGAGCAAAAGCTTTCAGAGTTTCATGGTAATGATCTGTTTTATCAAGTGTTGTTTTGTTCTTTCGCTTTTTGACTGTTTTGGAAGTCTGCAGATCGCTGCAGCTCATTATATCCATATGTGAATAGAAACTAGAAACTTACTTTTCAACAGTAGAGTTGTTTTTGCAGTCTGTTATTAAGAATCCTGAAAGGATATTTTAAATCAATCTGTTGTTAATTCTATTGTCATTCCTGGGAGGTATAACAAAAAGAATTTGGCTTTGATTTTGAACCTTTTGAAGCCAAGTGAGGGGAGGGAGGAGGGGGGGGGGGCAGATAGGGTGAAAAGATGTAGTTTGCCAGACGCCAGACTTGCAACCATAAGGTCACAATGTCTGGGTCTGACTCTGAGTCCTTGGGGAAAGACACTTCACAAAAAGAATGTTATCTTTCACTCAGGTTGATGAAGATGCATAGCAAACACACAGATCTTGACAGTATTTTAGCATTTGAACGCCTGAAAAATGGCAACATGCACTGATAATTTCCAGAAAGCTAAGAATAATTTTTAATGCTACGGGTCTGTCATGGTAAAGATAAATTGTAAAGCACATTGATCTTTTCAATCGGGATACTTGCCGTATTAATGATATTGTATTATTATTATTGTTGTTATAATTATTATAATTATTGCTATCATTACTATTACAATGGCATGTATTATGATTATCGGGATACTTGCCATATGAATGCTATTATATTATTATTATTATTATTATTATTATTATTATTGTTATTATAATTTTTATAATTATTGCTTTTATTATCATGACAATTACATGTATTATGGTTATCTTTTTAGAAAGTCAGTGAGAGGTTTGTAAAGCATCAATTTACTTAATGTCTCTATCTTTGAAAGTGATTTTGTTCATCCAACAGGAGAATCTCTCGATTGTCAATTGCCAGCAAAGAAATCCTTTGGCACAAAAAATCAGAATTTCATGGAAGCAAAGAAAGGGGATGTGGAAAGCTACTTACAGGTAATTAAAGAGTCAGTGTGGTCTAAATTATGGGAGTTTCTTTTTTTTTTATTTTTTTTTTTTTACATTGAATAATTTCAGCCATGGAACATCACTTTGATATTGTTGCTCCTCTCAAAGCTGTAATTTGTCTCCTTTTAGAAGTATGGTTCATTCCTTCTTAGCTTCTATTCTTCTTTTACAACATTTGGTTCACTATATCACTACAGTCAAAATTGTCCAACACTGCCACTCTTTGCCAATGAGAAAAGTGGCTGTCCTAGACGGGTGGCCGTCGTAGGCCTGACTGATCAAAATGAAAAAGAAAAAATATTCTATTCTGAGGTCCCAGCCAGAGGCAGTGACAGACTTTGGGCTGCCTTAAGGCCTATTAAAATGTTGTTTTTTCATTTTTGTTTTTGTTTTTGGATTTTTTAATTTAAAAAAATAAATTTGGAGGGGGGGGAGTGTGGAAAGGGAGGTTCTGGGACTGTTGTAGTGTTAAATTCTATGAAGTGTATCGGGCAAGGAAGACAGTGTGCTGTACAAGGATAAAACAAAAGACAATGTCTCAGACAAGGAAGACTGAGTGCCATGGTAAAACAAACAAATGGGTTGCTACAACTCGGCAAATAAGTGACTATCCATATTTTCAGGACTGAAGGTGATACCAGCATAATATTGTTTAAGCGTTATTTTCTCCAGAATTTCTAAAGTTTTTTCTTGAATTTTACTGGTACAATTTAATCATGTCTCCATTTATTTTGCCTCATTCTGTGTCCAGATTTGTTACTGCTTTTTTAAAAAAGTGTCCTTTTGTCTCCATTCTTTTCAGAAATTGCTGACCAAGCCCCAGCTGAAGAATAGTGAACTATTGTACAACTTTTTAACCTCAGAGCATGAATTTTCAACTAGTTTCCTGCCAGATATTAAGCTTGGTAACTGACAACAAACCTTTGTATTTTTCTTTCATTATATTTTCTTGAAGCAAAGTGCTGTCTCTGTCATACTTTTTGTTCAGATGCATACATAATGGTCAATAAGATATTTCGGTTTGACCTCTAAACCCAGCGTGTTTACCATTATTCGATCTATCTATCATTTGTATCGTTAATATTATCTATTTGTCCAAAGTAATTACCTGTCATGGGATGTTATTTGTTTTTTATGTTGTGATCCAATTATGCTGGATGTTTGAAAGCAAAGCGGGTGGTTGGCGGGTGCTCTGGTGCGGTTTGCTCCTTCTTTCCTATCACACATCTATCATCCTTATCTCCCCTCCTTCTTTTTTGTGTTTGTT